GATGTTGGTGTTTTATCCAGAAAAAGCTCCTTAAATGGAGCCGTTTGTGTTTTTTTAAGCAGTTAGATGGAAGAAAAGCATGATTTTAAAGCTGTAAACTGGAGCTGGAACCTCTGTTTTGTGTGTTAAAAGACTTAAGAAGTGACTGAAAATCTTTTTTTTTCAGCTGTGTAATAAAGTTAGAGGACTTTCAGTGACGTTTAGGAGAAAATTAGAGCTGATTCTGGAGGAAAAAGGCAGAAAATGTGATTTTTTCTGACTCTAGTTTGGATCAGAGGCTCAGATGTTGGTGTTTTATCCAGAAAAAGCTCCTTAAATGGAGCCGTTTGGGTCTTTTTAAGCAGTTAGATGTCAGAAACAGGAGCTTAAAGCTGTAAACTGGAGCTGGAACAACTATATTTTATATTTTTAACAGCTTTAGAAGTGACTGAACATTTTATTAAATCTTATTGTCAGCTATGGAATAAAGTTGGAGCAGTTTTAATGATAGCTGGAGAAAATTAGAGCTAACTCTTCTTAGGCAGTTAGATGGAAGAAAAGCATGACGTTAAAGCTGTAAACTGGAGCTGGAACCTCTATTTTTTGTGTTAAACAGCTTTAGAAGTGACTGAAAATTGCATTAAATATTTTACTTTAAGCTATAGAACAAAGTTGGAGGACCTTTAATTATATATAGGAGAAAATTAGAGCTCATTCTGGAGGAAAAAAGCAGAAAATCTGAGTTCTCTGGACTCTGGTTTGATCAGAGGCTCAGATGTTGGTGTTTTATCCAGAAAAATCTCCTTAAATGGAGCCGTTTGGGTCCTTTTAGGCAGCTCTGGAATAAAAAATGGAGCTGTTTGTGTTTTTTAAGCAGTTAGATGAAGGAAAATCGTGACTTTAAAGCTGTAAACTGGAGATGGAACCTCTATTTTGTTTGTTAAACGACTTCAGAAGTGACTGAAAATCTTTTTTTTTCAGCTCTGGAATAAAGTTAGAGGACTTTTAGTGACGTTTAAGAGAAAATTAGAGCTGATTCTGGAGGAAAAATGCAGAAAATGTGATTTTTTCTGACTCTAGTTTGGATCAGAGGCTCAGATGTTGATGTTTTATCCAGAAAAAGCTCATTAAATGGAGCCGTTTGGGTCCTTTTAAACAGTTAGATGTCAGAAACCGGAGCTTAAAGCTGTAAACTGGAGCTGGAACAACTATATTTTATGTTTTTAACAGCTTTAGAAGTGACTGAACATTTTATTAAATCTTATTTTCAGCTATGGAATAAAGTTGGAGCAGTTTTAATGATAGCTGGAGAAAATTAGAGCTAATTCTTCTTAAGCAGTTAGATGGAAGAAAAAGCATGATGTTAAAGCTGTAAACTGGAGCTGGAACCTCTATTTTGTTTGTTAAACAGCTTTAGAAGTGACTGAAAATTGCATTAAATCTTTTATTTTAAGCTATAGAACAAATTTGGAGGACTTTTAATGATATATAGGAGAAAATTAGAGCTGAGTCTGGAGGAAAAAGGCAGAAAATGTGATTTTTTCTGGACTGTAGTTTGATCAGAGGCTCAGATTTTGACGTTTTATCCAGAAAAAGCTCCTTAAATGGAGCCGTTTGGGTCCTTTTAGATGGAAGAACTCATCAGAAACAGGAGCGTAAAGCTTTAATTGGAGTTAAACGTCTGTCTTACAAAGTTAGAGGACTTTCAGTGACATTTAGGAGAAAATTAGAGCTGATTTTTGGAAGAAAAAAGGCAGAAAATGTGATTTCTCTGAACTCTGGTTTGATCAGAGGCTCAGATGTTGGAGTTTAAGTCAGAGTTTAACCAGCAGAGCAGGAAATATCCGGCTGGTTTTCAGCCCCAAACAGGAAGTAAACAGTCAGAGATGCAGAACTGGGGGGCCTAAAGATCATTATATTAATATTTCTCCTTTTTTAAAACTGTAATCGGAGGTTTATTATAGTCTAAAAACAGTTTATGAACATTTTAGCTGCTTTGTAAATCAACATTCTCACAGCAGATGAATTTTTGTTAGTAATTCTGTTCGATTTGGCTGATGTTTTCTCCAAATGGAGCTGGGATAGTTTTTGTTAGTAATTCTGTTCCAGTTGTCTCATTTATCTGATGTTTTTCTCCAAATGGAGCTGGGATAGTTTTTGGGGGTTAATTCTGTTCCAGTCGTCAACTTTTTTGCTGCTTTTTAAATCAACATTCTCACAGCAGATGAGTTTTTGTTAGTATTTCTGTTCGATTTTTCTGATGTTTTCTCCAAATGGAGCTGGGATAGTTTTTG